ATTTAGAGAGCTGTTTTTTATTTTCAGGGTGTTCCAGTTGCACTGAGCGGCAGAGATATGATTGGCATAGCTAAGACTGGCAGTGGCAAAACAGCAGCCTTTATTTGGCCAATGTTGATTCACATCATGGATCAAAAAGAACTGGAACTGGGTGATGGTCCCATTGCAGTGATTGTGTGCCCAACCAGAGAGCTTTGCCAGCAGGTAGGTGTATATAATGTATAAGTGCAGGGTGGGTTTGATTTTAATACAATCAGTTTAAATCACTGGTCAGGAAGCCTTGATTTAATCATTGCTTTTTACAAAAAGTGCTTTCTTGTTGTTTGATATCCTTTATTCATTTATTCATTTCTGGAAACTTTACACTTTTAGAGAAAGGTAAGGGCTTGACTCTGTACACAAATTTGCAGAAAAACAAGGGCTGATGGGCAGGTAATCAGGTCTATTATCTCTCATCTCCATATACTGCTGTTAAGAAGGATGTTATCTGTGGAGAGACAAATCCACAGTTTGAGAACTGAAACTAAGCATCACAGAGATGCTTAATGGGATCTTCTAGACTGAGCATTGAGTCCCACAGGGTAGAGTGGTTTTCTTTAATCTTTACTAATCTATAGAGGAGCCTCTGGGAACCCCATAAGATTGGACTCCTAATATATAGTCCATGGCCTGTTGTGACCTATTTATAAAACCCTTTTAAAAGGGTTACATGAATATATTGTTTTAAATAGTATATAATTATAAGTTATAATCCCTGTTCCATGATATCTTTGAGCTTTAACATATTTTAAATTAAAACTATCTTTAATATAGGTGTATTTAAAAAGCAAAACCAAACCCTTATAAAAAAATATATATATCTAATTTTAAATTTAAAAAAAAATCCATTTTTTTAATTTTGTTTAAAACCTTTACTTTTATTCACCCTGTGTAAGTGCCCCTCTATTTCCTTATAAACACAGGAAGTCTTTAGCAGGAGAAGTTAGCAGAGAAACTACAGTGCCTGTTGGAAAAGATTATCCTGTGTATTAATAACTTGTTTTAGTATTTAAGCTAGTACTGTACACCAGTGGTGCTCAATCTGTGGCCCATGGAACTGTCATGTGGTATGTAGGTTGACCTACAGATCAGATGAAATGACTGTGCATGTGGATCAGGCCAGTATGTGGAGCTGATTCATTGCCAGGGCTGGCACACAGAGCTATGTTTAACAAAGGATCCGGGAATACCCCAAAGCTGCAAAGTGGAATGACAAAGAGCGGTTGAACCCCACTGATGATGGATGTCTCAGTTCCCTTCCGGTCACTACCCCACAAGTCTTGAGGTTGGCCAACCACCTTGACCTCTTCTGTCTCTGGATTTAGCTTCAAGTGGTACATCTGTATCTCATTCCCAGTTTTATCCAGGCACTAGGTAAGGACTGAGACTGCAGGGCTTGGGTCAGATCAAAAGGAGAAGGAGAGAGGAATCAGTGTTGTCAGTAATACTGATGGCACCTTACTCCCAGTCTCCATGTAATTTCATCCAGCAGCCAAGGATACACAGTTAACGAGAAGGGCAACAAGATGGAACCTTTGAGATCCCAGAGAAAAAGTCCCGCAGCCAGCATTTCTCAGCCAGCAGCAAAAGCCTAGCAGCCTAGGGGAGGGGGGAAGGTCACAGAAGGGACAGGGAGAGGAGAGAGCTTGGGGATGGGTAGGGGAGGGGCTGTTTGTTCCTCCAAGTGGGAAAACTGGTGTTGGAGGCAAAGAGGGAACATGCGTGGAGGAGCAAACCCCCTCCTCCACCCAGTGTCAGGGCCATTTGCCAAGGCAGCCCCCAAGTTCCTTAACATTCCATGCCCCAGTTTTCCTGCCAGGAGGAACAAACAGCCCCTACCCATCCCCAAGCTCTTTCTGTCCCTTTTGTGACTCCTTCCCCTGCCCCCTCCCCTGGGCTGCTGTGCTTTTGCTGCTGACTGAGGAATGCTTTTGGCAGCTGTCGGAGGGCCAAGAACTCTGCTCCTGCAATTAAACTTTGCCCTAAACCTGCCCCCTCAGCCAGTTGGGAAGCATAGGGGGCACCACAGTCTGGGTTAAAAAATGGTGGCCCCTGCCATAATATTAGTGAGCTGGGCCTGTAATTTAAAACAGGCCCTACTTGTGATCAAAGACTGCTAATGTTTTTAGAGGATCAGCAGGGTATGGTGTTTCCCCTGTTTATCTCTAAGTAAACATTATTGACCAAAGCCACAAATACAGTCTCCTTACTATACCCAGGACAAAAACCAGACTAATAGGAGTCCAGGAATCTGAGGCTGTCCAGCTGCATCTGGAGCTGTAGGGTTTAATAACCTTCTCCAAAAAATGGGGTTGGAGACCACGTGGCAGCAGAAGGGATCTTTAAGTTGGGACTGGGTAATTGTTGACTTAAGAATGTCTGGTACCTTGCCCTCCGAAAGGGAGGCACTGACAACTCCCTCCAACAGTGGCCCTAGTTTCCACTGGCTGACTTTTACAAGCCAAGACAGGCACAGGTTGAGGTCACAGCATGTTGCCCGTGTCCCCCAAACACATCGTTTGCACTGGTGGGTAAAAACAAGGTACTGCACGTGGGGAGGAAAATCCAGGCTGGGGAACTCCCTCCTCAGTGCAGAGGCAGAAAAGGATATTGGAGTCATTATTGATGCCAAGATGAACATGGGCCGGCAGTGTGGGGACGCTGTCATGCATCCACAGATGCATCTCAAGCAGGTCTAAGGAGGTGATCCTCCCCCTGTATGCGACACTAGTCAGGCTGCAGTTGGAGTACTGCATCCAGTTCTGGGCGCCGCACTTCAGGAGGGATGTGGCCAGCATCAAGAGGGTCCAGAGGAGGGTCACCCGCATGATCAGGGGTCAGCAGGGCAGGCCCTACAAGGAGAGGCTAAGGGACCTGAACCTGTTCAGCCTCCACAAGAGAAGGCTGAGGGGGGATCTGGTGGCCATTTACAAACTGGCTGGGGAGACCAGCAGGCATTGGGGGAGTCCCTGTTCCCCCGAGCACTACCAGGAGTGACAAGATATAACGGTCACAAGCTGGCAGAGGGTAGATTCAAGCTAGATATCAGGAGGCGCTACTTCACTGTCAGGGCAGCTAGGATCTGGAACCAACTTCCAAGAGAAGTGGTGCTGGCTCCTACCCTGGGGTCCTTAAGAGGAGGCTGGATGAACACTTTGCCAGGGTCGTTTGACCCCAGTACTCTCTCCTGCCAAGGCGGGGGGTTGGATTTGCTGATCTGCTCAGGTCCCCTCCAACCCTACCAGCTATGAAACAATTGAAGCTGAGTTTTATAAACCTAGCAAAACCGAGTTTCCTCAACCTGAGCTAGGACTCTGCAGCTAAACTGACATTCCCCCAGCTATGCCAGATATGAGTGGTTTTTTGTCTGCAGAGGTGGCAATACCTATTACAGTGGACTGTGAATTACTGCCATTTCCAGGCAGAGATGACCTGGATTTAGCAGGCCATTCCTCAGCCAGAACCATTCTACCAGGTAGCACTTCGAAGATGCTGTGGCCTTGGTCCATCCCCACCCACCTGAATTGGGCCCATTACCTTCCTGGAACTGTGCTAGCTGGCTCATCATCAGGCTCCCCACAGGTCCAGAAATTTGGCAGCAAGGCAGTAGCAATTAACATTTCCTCCACTCCCCCCCACTGCCAAATTTTTTGGACCTTTGGGGAGCACAATAGGCTCAATGACATGGCTGCATGGACTGGATTTGGCTTGTAAACCAGGGTTGAGCACCTGTGGCATAGTCCTTTAAAAATAATCTGTGTGGCAACCATTTGGCTTTGGCATGGGTCAAGAAAGAGCCACCTGAATTCTAACTACCTACCCTTGAGTGTATTTCAGTTACCCTGTGTGCAAGGGGGATCTGTGCCACTGCAGCAGTGGGAATGCAGATGCCTTGGTGCCACTGTATCTGTGACTGAGGTCATTGTGCTCTTACAGTGTTTGGCAAGGCCATTGGTGAAGTAAGAATTAAGGTCAGTGTGAATGTTCCCCAGAATTCTAGAATCCCACCAGCTCCATGAGTCTCTAGGGGAAGACCAACTTAACTGGTCCATCACCTTGCTGGGACATTGGGGAATAGGGATCTGGACCTTTAGAAGATAATGGTCTGACCTTGACAGAAGTGTCTTAATGACACCCCCCCATGACTGGACATTTTGTTTCCAGTTACGTGCAAAACATTAAGTGCAACATTTACCTTGCCTCATGTATCAGTCCAGTTATTATCTGGGATAGCTCCCTTGTCAGGTGTCCACTGACCATATCTCCTATGTAACCCAGACACAGGGCACCAAGTGCCTTCTGTGCCTCTTGACATTTTTCTTCCCCCCTCCCATCATATCTTCCCCTGTCCAGCTCAATCCCAGCAGGTACAGTTGCAACCTCTAACTGGTGCCCGCCACTTTCTTCCAACTCCTGGCAATTTTTGCAGTATCCCAGTGTAGTTCCTGTGTTTTAATGAGAATACAGTAGAACAGTTTATATCCAATATGCACCTTTTGGGACATTGTTGGGGTTCATGTTTGTAGTGTGATAGATACTCTGGATCAAATTTTGCAGTTGGATGCATGCGTTGCCTCCCATGGAAGATAATGGATGTAGCAAATTATGTGTAGGTGAGCAAAACTCAGTCTTCAGAGTGATTAATATATTTTCTTGCGTTACATTAAGCCCTGGTCTCTGACAGTGGAATAGAAGAACTGAATCATGTTTTCAAAAAAGGGGCACCCTCTTGAGTCTCACAAAGCTGAGTTGTGTTTTGTCTTGTTTACAACTTCCAGATCCATTCAGAATGCAAGCGCTTTGGTAAAGCATATAACTTACGCTCTGTAGCAGTGTATGGTGGTGGAAGTATGTGGGAACAAGCAAAGGCTCTTCAGGAAGGAGCGGAGATAGTGGTCTGCACACCAGTGAGTACCTCCCATGCTGACAGAATGTGTTTCTTTTGATGACACTGGCAAACTGGTATGATGATACCAGAGAATTATGGGGAACCATAACAAACTTGCTGTGTGATTTGTTACATCAGCAGTCACCAACTGGTGGATCTCGATCCACCAGGAGGTCTCGGAGCCTCTTGGAGTCAATCCGAGGCTGGGGAGGGAGGGGGCTGAATGTCCATGTACATGCTCATGCGCACCCCAACCCAGCAGGTTAGTACATGGGGGAGGGAAGGGGGATGGGGCGCTGCAGTGCATGGTAGATCTTGGGTTGCTTTAAATGTCATAGGTAATCTCCTACTTAAAGGTTGGAGGCCACTGCTTTACACCTTTTCCTCTTAATGTTGCTTGCATAATCTTTAAATAAGAGAAAGAAAAGATTGAATTAATAGGATTGATTATTGATTCAATAGGAGTAGTATACAGTACCAGCACTCAATTTCTAATTCCTAACACTGTAACCAACATTTTCTAAATTTGACCAACTCCAGTGCTGACTTCCTGAATCTTCAGAAAGTGCATTACAGTAATACTGAGAGGTGTAAACATGTGATTCTGGTAGAATACTAACTCAGAAATCTGATGATAGTAATTTAAAAAGGCACCAGTGTCAACTTGTTTCACTGCTTATCAGTTATAAACAGCCAATTATTTTGAATCTTTAGGCACAATTTGAATAACCTACAACCACATAGTTTGTGCTGATGTCTGGAAGGGAAGAATTGGAGGGTCAGTTACTACACATCAAAAATATATTCAATTCCAGTTGTTTACATTTTGATGATGAAGATTGGGTAGCAGGGAAAATTAAGAGTACAGCAGGAGGATGAACCAAAGGAAACACAGCAGTAGCTGTTTATTGTAGATGTTATGGTTGAAGATAATGCATGAGCAGTTCTTGAACCAGTTATTGAGGGACTGAAAAAACCCCAGAGTATTGGCCGCCCAATGGGAGCAGCCAAATGTCCACAGTGCTGGAGCCCCAGCAGCACCGAGAACAAGCCCAGCACTGTGGGATTACAAAAAGAGTGGTCATTCCTCAAGGAAGCAATCCTAGGAGCACAAAGGAAGTCCATTTCTTTTAGTAAGAATCACAGCAAAAGGGCTGGGAGAGCTCAGCAGGGGGGAGTCATGGACCTACTGAAATCGAAAAGAGAAGCTTATAAGGGATGGGAGTCAGAAATTACCACTAAAGAGGAGTACACAGCAATAGCCTGCACCTGTAGGGAGTGAATTAGAAAGGAAAAGGCAGAAACCAAATTCAAATTGGCAACGGGAATCAAGGACAACAAAAAGTCCTCCTTTTGATATGTAGGAAGTCAGAGACAAAATAAGGGAAGCATAGGGTCCCTGATGAAGGAAATGGGACAGCTGATAAGTGACACTCAGGAGAAAACTGAACTCCTAAATGAATACTTTGCATCGGTATTCTACAGTATAAACATGAGCCACCAATGCAATGCTGTAGCTGGCAGAGCAGATCAAACACTGACATGCATCTACCAGTGCATCTCAAGCAAGACTAAGGATGTCATCCCCTCTCTACTCGGCCTTGGTGAGACTGCACCTGGAGTACTGCATCCAGTTCTGGGCGGCGCACTTCAGGAAGGATGTGGAGAAGCTTGAGAGAATCCAAAGCAGGGCCATGCACATGATTAGAGATCTGGAGACCAGGTCATGTAAAGAAAGGCTGAAAGACATGGGACTGTTCAGCCTGGAGAAGAGAAGACTTAAAGGGGACTTGGTGACAGCCTATAAGTATATCAAGGGCGTACATCAGAGCCTGGGGGAGAAGCTGTTCACCAAGTCACCTCGGGGGAAGACAATAAACAATGGGCACAAACTGACTGAAGATGGTTTCAGATTGGACATAAGGAAAAACTTGTATACAATTCAAGTGCCAAGGGTCTGAAACAGATTTGGCCTCCCCCACTACCCCCCTCCCGAGGTGGTAGTCATCTACCCTGGCAATTTTCAAAAAGTGTCTTGATGCCCACCTTGCTGGAGTCATCTGATCCTGGCAGTCTTTTCTGCCCAGGTGCAGGGAGGCTGTACCTGATGATGTTGTAAGTTTCCTTCCAGCCCCTAACATCTATGAACCTATGACATTTGAAGGGTTTAATTACCTGTCTCCAAATATTCTTGTGAAAATCTAGCCATCAGATATAGTGTTAATAGGGGCAGTCATTGGGTGCATTTAGAATCTTCTTTCCACTGACTTGTGTATATATATAATGTGTACATTAGTGCCATCTTCTGTTGCAAGCCTCTGTTTTAGTATTAAGATTATTTATACTGGGTGAGGACTAAATTCCAAAGCCAGATGCATGCAGTTCATATTCCAAATACCACATGTTATGCTTACATGCTGTGGGTTTGAATGTTTTGTTTTTGATAGGGTCGCTTGATTGATCATGTGAAGAAGAAAGCTACCAATCTTCAGAGGGTCTCGTATCTTGTATTTGATGAAGCAGATCGAATGTTTGATATGGGTTTCGGTATGTACTGAAAAAACCCCTCTCTGCCATGCTTTAAAATACTGGTGCTCAGTGGTCAAGCTGATTTGGCTGTCTAGAACTCCTGTAGCTTAACAGAACATAGGTATTCATCGTCAAAAGTCTACATGGACAGAACCTTTTGGAGGTTTGTGTTTAAAGTTCGTCTCCTATTGCCATAAGTGTGAAGGGACCAGTGCAGCCTAATGGAACAAACACTGGGAATAGGATTCAGGAACTCCTGGGTTCTGATCCTAATTTTTATCTCTGACTGTGGGCTGCACAGCATTGCAGTATAAAATTGGGGTCACCATAACAGATGCCTACTTCACAAAAGTATTGTGTTGGATTACCTAATGTTTGTCCGGGTCTTTGAATTTGTGGATGGCTTCATCTTCTTTTTAAAAAGCCCAGTGCTTTGATAGCTTGGACTTTGCATGAGAGGAAACACACCAAAGTGGAGGAAAGCATTTCATTAGTAACTACATATAGCTTGTAAGTCACAATTACATAAAGGCTCTTCAGTCTGTTTGACTGAGTGCCAATAACCACCATTTCAAGGAAGGTGAAATGCTAAATATTGAATATGATAGCTTTGAAGTTGCCATCTGAGCTATTTTGCCAGCTATTTAGTGCAGAAAGTTAAGCAGAATATTGGTTACAACAGCCTCAAAATTCTACTTGTGAGTGTGACCAGATGAAAAAAGACTATCATAAATAGAAACGTATAACATAGTAAATAGAAAATTTTATACTTGTGCATCTTCATAATCATTTGGGAAGAATGACTTGATGTAACTTTTAAAAAAAAAAGTACACACCTCATGGAATAATTCTTATTTTTTCTGCTTTTGTTTTGGGACTTTGAGGCATGGGGTCTCTTTTCTTGTTCATCCCAGTCAGGGATGCATGCCCCAACATCTCCAGTCATTGACTTTTGTATTAGGGTCACTCAGAGTTGGGAGTGGAAGGACCTTAGGCACTGGACCTCCATGGTACCCTCATTTTTGGCAGCAGTATTTGGCCTATATCCCATGTTAGCTCTACACTCAGGTAGTGCTAATCCTCAGGATGGAAAATCAGTAGACCTCCTCAAAAACTATAATGCTGTTTTACAAGCAGAGACATAAAGAAAACAGATGCTCGTAGCAGAACCAAAGTATCTATTCTGTCTGATGTAAAGCATTTAGTCTTTCTTCCATCTTTTTAATGATCTGGTTGAAAATTGCCTATCTGTAATTGGAATGAGCTGTTATTCTGAACACCAAGTTTTACAGTGGGCCTTAATGGAATGGAATCTTCTTTAGACTTCAGCTTATGGCAAGTTCTTAATTTTTTTTTTGTAATCCATTGTATGCTTAGCAGTCTTGACTAAATTTCCTTCTAGTGGTTAACAAAATTAATGCTAAATTCTATATCATGGACTTTTTTTTTCTCTTTCGTAGAATACCAGGTCAGATCAATTGCCAGCCATGTGCGTCCAGACAGACAAAGTAAGTACAACTATGCTTCAAAACAACTACCATGGGGGCAAGTCAAGAGTTCTGGAGCCAGGGCTCTGAGATCCTCTTTCTCTGCATAATTCCTCGTCTCTGAATTATGCTGTTATTTCAGACAAATCACTTAGGCCTAGATTTTTAAAAACATTTAGCAGCTCCCATTACCCTCAGTAACAGCTGCTGCATGCAGAGCACTTTTGAAAATTGGCTTCAGTTTTTGACCCTTATGTGTAAAGTACTGAAGTCTAAGGTGATTTGATTAATTAATTTAATATATGAATGTGCTTTGATCTTCTGATGAGAACCACCATAGAAGTATGAAGCACCATTACATTCTTTTCTCATAATGTTTTCAGATAATCAAATAAATGCTCTTATTTTTAGCATTTCCTGTCTATTTAGTGTGTTCTTATTAAATTTATGTGCTTGATGTGTATTTCTGTTAGAGATTGGACGGATATTTGCTTTAAATGTGGTAAAAATAGAATATAACTTAGAATCCCTATTACCCAGAACAGATTTTATAAAGAAATATAAGAACAATCTGTAAGACCTATAAAGTGTTTTCATGTAGAAAGGGAACTTATTCAGCCTTAAATATTCTTTTCTTTATAGCTCTCTTGTTCAGTGCTACTTTCCGAAAGAAAATTGAGAAATTGGCAAGAGATATCCTGATAGACCCAATTCGCGTGGTGCAGGGAGACATTGGAGAGGTAATTTCACAGCTTTGTTTCTGAAGGAGAATGCTGAGGTGAATTTGATGAATTCTGTGATGGAAATAGCTTGTGTTCTTAAATAAAAAAGCAAATAATTATTCATTTAAAAAAAAAAGTTTTTACATGTTTCTAGCCTGCTTTTGTGGCAATGACTTAATGTCTCAGTAATGGAAGCTGTTATCAATGGGTGAAGCAATGCCAATGTCATAATGTTTACTCTTTTTTTTTAAAGGCAAACAACCCCCACAAAGAAAATTACTCAGATTGTTAAATCAAATGTGTTCCTGTTGTTTGCAATTTATTTTACTGATTTTATTTATATTCCAAATACAGCTTACACCAGACCAAGCACGTGTAAATGTCCCAATCTGTGGTTTACAGTTGTGCAATTAAAAGCACAGTAGCATTAAACCTATAATAGCATCCTCTTCCAGTTGCTGTATCTTATCTCAGAATACTATTTAACAATGCAGTGCTGCTCAGATGAGAGCTTTGTCTTTAGCATAGATAGAAACAGGGCTTAATGTTCTGTGCTGTCTTTTGTTGTCAAAATATGTTTAGCTCATTAGTGAGGCTGGTGACATGCTAAAGGTTTAGATCCCTCTCATCTAAACTTTGTCAAATTTTCTCCTAATCAACTTTAAGAAAAAAGGTAGAATTAAATTAATTCCGTCAGTGGGGGATGGACGGGTAATTTTAATTCTGTCTGTGCTAGTTCAGTAGTTTTATTTCTGTCAGTCTGGGAATCGCATGGATAAATTCCTGTCCTTTGCCTTGAAACCACAAATGATCAATTTAATTTTTGCACAGATGTTGCAATTAAGGCTGCTCATGAAACTGATATAATGGCTTCCAGCTGGCTTATGTGGGGATTCTTATTACAGTCTTGCTTGGTGACAGCATATGAGCTATATGTTAGCTAAATTGTTCAATAAAGTGAGAGGTATACACCTGTTCTGAAGAAATTTTGCAGGTAATATATTCACTTTGAAAATTGCTAAGGAATTTTATTATTTAACAGGTCACTTTCAAAACAGTCATGCCCTAAGGGAAACCTGTCTGTATTGCTTCAAATGGCATCACTCACAACACCTTATGTTATATTAATAAAATAATTAATGGCTGATCTAGGCCTTGGGCTTTCAGCTTGCTAGGCAAGCGTTTTGATTTTGAGGAAAGAAGTCATATTGGCTGCTTACAGATATTAAAAAAACCCAAAAGAACAGAGCTTTAAACTCAGTGTGCTCCTGCACCAAGCCCAGCACATACGCAGAAGAGGCATCACAATAGTTGGACCTGACTCATCCAATGTCTGTATAGATCAGGCACTTTAGCAGGGCTTTTTGGCGCTTTTATTTAATAGCTGATTGAATCAGCTTTAGATAAGTGCCAAAAAGCCCTGCTGAAGTGCCTGATCTATATAGACACTGTGGAGCCGAGTCAACCTAATGCACTGCTTTTCTGGTAAAGCACAGGAAGTTTGTTTAATTTAATTAAATAGAATTTTATTTTATTTTATTTTTTAACATCTGTAAGCAGCCTGTGATATTTGTCAGGCAGTTTTACTTCTGTTGTTGAATGTTCTGGTTTCTTTTGGGCACAATTACTACTATGTTTTGAAAGTATGAGATGCTATATATGAGAACGTATGCAACTAAGGAAAAATCTAAGGAGCCCAAAATAGTGTTGTTCACCATCTTTCAGCTCCTGAACCTGACAAACATGGTGCTTTACCCTGATTTAACTGAGATGTCATAGTTCCTGGAGGTTTCTTCTTCAGGTTAAGCGCAAGTGATTTTTCTGTTAAGTGCCTCCCCGCTAAATATCCTTAGACCAGATTATCCCCTTGTCCCTGGTCCTTTGCTGGCTTGGACTATGGACAAATATACATCTGTAACTGCCTCAAAAGAGAGGGAAGCTGCTGCTTGGGGAGCTGTTACATGTGCATGAGCGTGTAGTATTACCAGTCTAGGATGACTGCTTCAACTTTGGCCCTGCCTCATTCAGGGTCTAAGTTAGGGCGTTATAGCTTACTTGTATCACTCAAACAGATGTAACATACCCTAACATGTTCTGCATACTCTTCCCTTTCCTTTTTCTGAAGCAGCTGCAAAGGTCCATTTGTCCCTACTTTTAGTCTGGCCCTTTTAGATGTTAGTAAAATCACTCATGTTTGGATGGAAACAGCAAATATGCTCTTTTAAATCTGTAGGGCAGGGGTTCTTAAACTGTGGGGGGGTCACAAGCAACTTAAAAGTGGTTTACAAACTTCTCTTACCTCCCTAGAAGCGGTGGCACAGGGGGCAGGGCCGTTGCTGCCATCCAGCACTCCATGCCACCACTGTGCGCTGCTCCCATGCCGTGTCCAGCCAGTCAACAGGTGGGGTGGGGGGAGGTCCCCTCGTGGCTGACTGGCCGACTTAGCCATGGGGAAGCGGTGTGCAGCAGTGGCCCTGCCCCCTGCGCCACCACTTCTAGGGAGGGAAAAGAAGTTTGCAAACCACTTTTAAGCTGCTGGCTGCCGGGATGTCATGGTATCAAAGTTTGAGAAACCCTGGTGTAGGGCATTAAAAGGCATCATGGCAAAGTGTATCCTTTGCTTTTCCCAGGTTTATGGAAGAGTAGCTCAGTTAATCCTTGCCTTTATGCACCATTAGGTTAAAGTATTCAGGGGTTAGGCAGGAGAAGCAAATACAAATTGAAATGGAACTTTTCCAAGTGAACCCACTTCAGCCTACTGCCCCAGTCTGAATCCCTGCGTCACGTTCCTTGTCTGCTTCATGCTTGCTTCAGCATGCAAGGTAATAACTTTGCCTTCTTGCTCTTCCCAACAGGCAAATGAAGATGTTACTCAGATTGTAGAGATTTTCCTCTCTGGCCCTACCAAGTGGAACTGGCTGACTCGACGCCTGGTGGAGTTCACTTCTTCTGGGAGTGTTCTCCTGTTTGTCACCAAGAAAGCAAATGCAGAAGAGCTAGCCAATAATCTCAAGCAGGAGGGTCATAATCTAGGCCTCCTTCATGGTGATATGGACCAGAGTGAAAGGAATAAAGTCATTTCAGAATTTAAGAAAAAGGGAATCCCAATACTGGTTGCTACTGATGTGGCAGGTAAGGAATATATTTCTTATTGGAGTATACTCAAGTTGGCTGTCTCAACAGAATGGCTAAGGAATCAGTGGAGGAAAGAGGTATTGCTACATGAACATTTAAACCTAGTGAGAGCAACATGGAGGAGCTAACACAAGTCTTCTTCCAGGTAGACTTTTTAGTGGGATCATATACAAGTAGAGTGGACAGAGAAGACGACTATCCCATTTCACAGCATCTTCCAGGTTTTTCAATTTTGGTTTTGCTTCACATTAGAATTGAAAACAAAACCCTCTGGATGGTTTTATGAAAAAATCTGTTTCAGGAGAAAAGTGGATGAATGAATGCCGCTGCTAATCTGGCTACCAGCCTAGGTTGTGGGCAGAGGCAACCCAAGCAGGGTGCGGGGCCCAGGGCAAATCAGCCCATGGAGGGCCCTGCCCCTACTCCAATCCCCAACCCAAAGAATCTGCCACCGTCATCAGCAGCATTGGCTTGTGGGGGGTAGCAAGCAGCTGGACATGGAGCCACTGCTTTGCCTAGCTCCATGAAGCCACTGCTCTGCCTGGCTCCATGGGACCCCCCAAAGCACGGGGCCAGAGGCAGTCACCCCAAATCACTTCATATCAGACAGCCTAGAGCCATGAAAATGGGTCTCCCACAATTCAGGCTTCCCTGACCACCCAAATGTTTTGGCTTCACCAAAACACCTAAAAGGTTTAAAAAAAAGAAAAAAAAAAAAAGTTATGGCCAGCTCTATCTACAGGGCAGTTGTGTCCATACGTAGCAAGTGAGACGACTGTTATGGTAGGCAGCAGAGGCGGGAGTTTGTTTTAGGGATCAAGGCTTACGTTCAGTTCCGTTGATTTGTGTGACGTCAGCTTAGTCATTCAAACTTTCTATACCTTGGTTTTTGCATCTGAAATCAACTAATTTCCTCCCAGCAAGCACCTGATACTTAGTAAGAGAGTATTTATAGAGTTCTTTGAGGACCTGGAATGACAGGAACTGGAGAAGGGAAAGGGTTAATGCTGATTAATGTACACGCAGTCTCTGCCTTCAGTAGCACAGCTTGTGTAGCTATGTGTATAACTTGTTATAGACCTTTCCAGCGCGCACACATACATAAGAAGGGTTGACCATTGCCAACTTAGGGACAATAATCATATGATTTCCAAGACACTGCTGGAAATGGGTCTAAGTTTCAGTCTTTTCAAATTATTAAACTATGTAGAGGGAGGTATGCTCACCAGTTTACTCTAAGGAAGTTAACTTCTCCCTTCTGAAGTGCTGGCTATCCAGTAACTTGGCCAGTAGAGACATTGTATATTCTTGTAGGAGTTCTGGACATTTGAATAAACAACATGGAGTTTATTTGCTGCATTTTCTAGTAAGAAACCTCTGTTGTCCACTATCCTGTTAACTTGGGAATGAATGAAAATTGTTACAGTGGGGCTAGATATTGCTACGCTTTGGTTAACCAGGGCTTTCAGCTGTTACTGAAGACTGGCTTGGATTTTGCTGTAGTGGAAAACTTTAATTCACTCAAAGTGTGTAAAGTGGAGCACAGTGGTTGAATGGGACATCTTCATAGTAATTCAGGGTAATCAAATTAATCATCATGTCACTTTGTGTTGCAGCTCGTGGTTTGGATATTCCTTCTATTAAGACTGTGGTCAATTATGATGTGGCCCGGGACATAGATACCCACACCCACAGAATTGGACGCACAGGCAGAGCAGGCGAGAAGGGAGTAGCCTACACTTTGCTGACTCCCAAGGACAGTAATTTTGCTGGTGATCTTGTCAGAAATCTGGAAGGTGCCAATCAGCATGTTTCGAAAGAGCTGTTGGACCTTGCAATGCAGGTATAAACAAAAAAGTCTTTAGGGGGAAGGATCCTTTGGTGGATCTTAAAAGGATCGTTCAGAGGGTTGTGCAAGGGGTGAATTGGGTGTTTGCCACTGTCAGTGTAAAAACAACCTAAATGTGTGTCCTCAGCTGAGTAATCTCAGTTCTAAGTCTGCTGGGCCCTCTTGATTCCCAGTGCACTGGTTCATGATATTTAGCTTTCACCTTGCATCATTTGGTAGGTATCAAGTTGACCTGGCTTTCAGCACCTGCGCTTCCAAAGTCTAGCCTTCTGCCTTTTCCATGGCCTTTGAGAGAGCTTGCTTTCTCACAAGAGTCATGAAGTCTCTGGACCAGAATGTATGCTCCATTTGTTAGAGGTGCCCCAATACATCAGTCCAATAACGGATTGGTACTGATATAAAGAAATCTGGCTGTATCGGATATTGGCCCGATGGGGCCAATAATTTGGCCAATAAATGCCTGTGCTGTAGTGGAAAGGGAGGGGGAGGGAAGGGGCATTGGGGGTGCAGATCAATGCCCCCTGCAATGAGGGAGGGGGCAGGGGCATGCACTGCTGGGTTGGGGGGGAGGTGGAGCTGCGGCTTGTGGAGGGGAGGCAGCTCCTGCTGCTGCTTGCACCCTGGGGGTGGGGGGCAGGGCAGGGCATGTGCCCCCCAGATCTGCATTGGATGGGCTGGCATCAGAGTGGGCACAGGTGTTGCTGGGAGGATGCTGCATCCAGCCCAAACTTGGCTGCTGCTCTGCTCCCAGCACCAACGCCCCCAGCCGCTCAACGCCCCGCCTCCACCCATGTGGGTGGCAGCGCTGGAAGCGGAGTGGAGGCTATATTTGGGGTGGATGCAGTGTCCTCCCAGTGCCTCTAGTGCCCGCTCTGAGCCCAGCCCCCTCTGGGAAAAGTTACACACAGCCCCAGCTACAGCCCACCCTGCCAACAAGCAGGTGCAACCATCTCTTACAAAACTCTGGGGATAGCTTATGGGCATAGACCCACGGCTTACTAACCTTATGCTGTTTTTGCAGCACCTTTTCATCCACTGGGTTTTAAAAACTGCTTGGTCAGTCAGTGGGGTGAATTGATAAATCCAATGGGGGGATTTTTTTCACATTTAAGAAAGCCTTCTTCTGTTGCATGCAGAACCCCTGGTTCCGGAAATCCCGTTTCAAGGGAGGAAAAGGCAAGAAGCTGAACATTGGAGGTGGTGGCTTGGGATACCGTGAACGCCCCGGCCTGGGCTCAGAAAATTCTGTAAGTACAGAGGAATTGGGAGATATTTTCATAGCTTTGAAACTGTATAAACTTAGAACTGGCATCTTTCACATTGAAAATCCTGAATTATGGTAGGGTAGCTTCACAGCATCTCCACACGGGGTTCAGTTGATTTTGGTTTACTGTCTCAGAATTTTGAAACTTTGTTTCTAAGATTCAGAGGCATTTCACACAATGCTCCTTGTGCTGCACACTCACCTTGTTGCCTCAGGTGACTTTGTTCAGAGTTACAACATAGGTCTTTGGGGTGAAGGGGGAGGACTTGATTCTAATTTGACTCATGAAGCAATTACCTATTTCAGAAAAACTCTGTGCTCTGAGAAGAGCTATTCCTTCAACAGTAACTGTGAATCTACTTGATCTGGAAGGCCATCCGCACATTAAGTGTTTGGCACCTAAAACTGTGTGGAATTGCATTACAACATTTGAAAACAGTCAGTTAGAGTCCTGTTAGCAGTAGAAAAACTGCTTACTGCTGACCTGATACTGGGCACAGTTTAACAGTAAGAATATTGAAAAAATGTCCTGCTCAGCAATAGTTCACTTTGCCCTCTTGTTGGTTCCTATTAAGGGGCAATGATGAATCTAAAAGGGAATCTTGTGCTCTGGGTTTGTGCCCATCTCTGCTTATTGACATTAGACTTTTCCCCAGATGTCTTTTCCTGTTTTATGAGTAAACCTCCAGATAGGAATCTTTGCTGTTATGGACTTCTCAGTCTGTTGGTAATATATATACATGTAGTGACTCAGGCTAGAATCTGAGGGGGGGCGGTGTTGGAGCACATCTCTCTGGCACATAGCCAGCATGGGCTGTTTGTTCACTTCGTCTTCCTGCTGCTCCTGAGGTCTCTGGGATTTGCAGTCCAGAATCACAGCAGCAGGACTCTGCAGGGTTGCTCATTGTTCCCTCTTCCTGCTTCCAGGTGTCTCTTTGTAATCCACAGTCACAGCCAGTAGTAAGTTTTTAGCAGGGCAAGGCAGCTCTGTACTGGGGGAAGGGAAGCTTAACCCCCCTCTCTGTTCCCCCCACAACCCCAGTCAGGGTTGCCTCCCCCAAACCCTGATGTGCAGACAGCACAGCACAGCCCAGGGCTGGAAAGCATGCTGGGAGACTGACACTTAACTTGAACCAGGAAGGAGTCTGGGACAGAAGTTTCATAAACTGGTCTGACCCAAATCAGTTAAGTCTGATAGTACATTCAACCAGGCTTATCTTAAACCAGTTTCAGCCATTTTGAAACTGGTTTATGTGCACTGAACTTCTGTTCTGTTACAGGTTTAAACCAGTGTCTGATTATTTAAACCAGTTTATGTGTAACTTCTGTTCCTAGCCAGGGATTGCTGGGCAACAGGATTCCTGAGCTCCATTCTTGGCCACTGAGGCTATAAACAGGTGGCATCTGTGGAGCAGGATCAGCTGTGCCATTTTACCGGGTGACGGACATTGCCTGTTTTCTCACGGGGTTGAGCTTCTCCTGCTCCTGGGGCTTCAGAAGTCTGGTCCTGCAGGCAAACTGACTTGGGGCACATCTCTATAAAAGAGAGAGCCCCAGGGTTGAGGCACAAACCTGCCTCTGTAAGCAGGGAACCCTTGCAGGTGCTCCTGGGATTTCAGGTACCTGATCCTGCATGCCCTTGGAGTATCCCAGTTGGGGAATTTCCAGAGGTGTACAGGATTTGGTCCCCTGTAGTTCCAGCTGCTCCTGCCTGGGGCAGCTGGACAGCCATAAAGCACACAGGCATCCATAAACTTTTTTAGGGTGGCAAAGGCAATATCTGTTTCCAGCCTGAGTCACTACAACTTACTTCTACAGGTGCACCAGTACATTGGTCCGATATCAGATCAGCACTGATATAAAAAAAAAAAAAATTGGCTTTATTGGAAATTGGCCTGATGTGGTTGATAATTTGGTGGATAAATGGCCTGTGCATGTGCACAGCTACAGGGCAGCACGTAGGTGGTGAGGAGCACAGCCTGGCAGCATGGAGAGCTGCTTGGAGCTGATAAGTCTGTTGTGGTGAAAGGGGAGGAGGGAGGGAAGAGGTGTGAGGGGGCAGATTAAGGCCCCTGCAGTGAGGGGGGGAATGGGGATGGGGCAGGCACTGCCCAGTGGGTGTTGAGGCACGGCATGGTGCCATGGCTCATCAAGAGCATGGACCCCGGGGAGTGGGGGGGCATGTGCCCCCAGATCTGTGTGGGGCAGAGTGGGGTGGCTGCCGCTGCAGGCCAGGGCCAGGGCTATTGGGCTCTTCCCGGCAGGGGGCTGGGCTAGGTGGCGCCACTGGAAGTGGGGCTATGGTGAATTTTGGGGTGGCTGCAGCCCCCTCCCCATAGCCCCTTCCCAGCATTGTCACTGTTTGTGCTGAGCACAGTCCGCCCCAGCCCGCAGCAGCAGCCCATCCCACACACACCCTGCACAGATCTGGGGGACACGCCCCCTATGCCCTCCTGGGGTGCGGGCAGCAATGGGAGCTGCCCTCCCCATGCCACCCATCAAGCTGCAGCTCTATCCCATGCCCTGTCCTGCCCTGGCTGGGCAGCATCTGCCCCAGCCCCACTCCTTCACCACGGAGGGCCTTGATCTGCCCCCTCACACACCCTTTCCTTCCCCCCTGCCCTTCCACCACAACAGATTTACCAGATGCACGCAGCTCTCCATGGTGTATTGAAAATTGGATTGGTATTGGCCGATAATGCCTCCTTAAATATCAGTATCAACCCAAAAAATCTCTTATCGGTGCACTCCTACTTACTTCATGCCTGTACTTCTGTTTTACCACAGTTAAAGTGTCAGTAGCAATCGTGTGCATTTCAGAGCTGATTAGTGGATCTGTGATCTTCTGTGAAAGACATCCT